GTGACGGCGACAGTGATAGTTGATTTTGAGTGCCGAAGAAAGTTCGCATTTTTGGTGCCAACCAGGAACTAGAAAGCCTACAGAAGGCTCGTGTTCTCCGACTTACTAACTACTCTGAATGGGCCACACCGATCGTGTTGGTGAAGAAGGCTAACGGGACCATCCGGTTGTGTGCACTTTTCTAACGGTCTCAGGACTGCGCTGAGTTATCATCAATATCCTCTACCTCTTTCATACGATTTGTTTGTGAAACTGAATGGGGTAAATGTTTCGCTAAGATTATCTTGGCCGATGCCCACCTCCAAGTTGAAAATGTAGAAGAATCACGAGAAATTCTGACGACCATTACGTACCGCGTTCTGTTCCAGTGTGCCCGACCTACATTTGGTGTCAAAACGGCATCAGTAACATTTCAATAGATCGTGAATAAAATGCTGATGGATGTCCTGGCATTGCTGTTTATTCGGAAGATCTCATTGACACGGGTTCTAATCCCCAAGAATTAAGGCAGCGCCTCGATTACGTGCTAGGACGTGTTCTGGAATACGGCTTCAGCGTGTACTGCAACAAATGCACTTTCTTCATCCGGTTGACAAAGTACTCTGGTTTCCTCATTGACCAACCTGGCCGTCGACCATACACGGAGAACATCAAAGCTATCAGCCTTATGCCAGGACCCACAGAAAGTGGCGTTCTTTAGGACTTTCCTGGACTCGTGAGTAACTACAGTTGGTTTTCGCCTGACATGCACCGCCTCCGAGGCCCACTAAATCAGCTACTTACCAAGGACCACGAGTGGACATCGTCAGAAAAATGTCCAAGCGCCTTTTCTTAGTCAAATCCAAGCTAAGATCCGATCTGCTACTCACCCACTACGATCCATTGCTGGAAAACATTGTAGAGCCGAACGCCTTAAACTATAAAATTGGCGCGGTGATTTCAAACGTATTTCTAGATAGCGTCCATAAAACCCTCGCACATGCGGCCAGATCCCTGACTTCAGCCGAGCGCAACTAGATTCAGATAGAATAAGAATCTTTCGCGATCGTGTTTGCCGTTACGAAGTTTCATAAAATGCTCTACCGTCGTCAGTTTACTATACTGATCAATTACATGCCATTTATTGTTGTTTTTGGCGCAAAAAAAGATTCCGGCATATACTGCCTACCGGCTTCAGAGATGGGTCACTCTGCCCCTGGGATGCAATTTTAAGATACAATAACAGTCAATTACACGCCTCGACTCGAACAAGGCACTATCGCGACTCATTGACTCAAGCAGGCTAAAAACAGAAGGTACTGTGTTCGCAATAATTGCCTTGGAACGCGAAGTTAACTGCTTAGTATCCGATGCGGTTCGCATTCTCCCATTGACTGCTGAATGGTCTGCCAGGCTACCGACCGAGAACTTGTGCGGCAAAAAGTCAAAATGTACCATCGCAATCAGTGGTCGCGTACCTGCCGAAAAACGAACATAGACCTTTCTTCAACCGGGGCGATGCACTATCTCTGGCTGATGATTTCAAAACGCGTTGCCAGCCGTCCTGAATTAGTTCCATAAAAGGCACCCGTGAACAAACTGGATGTAGGCCCTTGCTTGGCAGTCGGTTCACGTTGTCGGCGTTCGAAAACTTTGTCGGGATTACGGCATAACCCATATCTGTTTGTCGCCGTTTCATCCGTATTCGAACGGCTAGGCAGAACGCTTCGTTAACATCCTGGATCGGGTACATCGCAAGTTCGGCGAGGAGGGACCAAGGAAAGAGAGCTTGCAAAGCTCTCTGCTGGCATACTGAGTGCCTGCAAACCCCAACTTGCCTGATGGAAAGTCACCAGCAAAGGTACTACTCCGAAAAGAGTTTCGAACACCGCACGACATTTTCCGATTACACAAAATGCAGGCGAGTCACCGCAAAAACAGAATGGAAGAACAGTTTAACCGGCATCACGGGGCAAATACGCGCTCTTTCAGCAAAGGCCAGGGAGTTTTGGGTCTTGACCACAGCGGCAGACACCCTACGCAGATTCCAGGACCTACCTTCTGCCTGCGAGGCAAATTGCTCTACGAGGTGCAAATCGGCTCAGCCAGGTGGATACGACACACAAAACAAATCCGGCCAACCGATGCCCAGATCCCGGCCACAGGACCGAGTGAATGTAGCCTACAGATGCTTCTTGACACCTTCGATCTTTGCACCATCTCAGGAGGCTAAATCTGAGCACGGATTACGAAACCGACGCTGGACAGACAGGATCTGCAAGCTAGAGAGGTCACTGAGTTGGACTTCCTGCTTTGAGGTCACGTCAACAAGCTTCAAGGGGGTGGTGTTAGGCAGCGTTCCATAGAGCTCCGCATAACGCACGTCCTCCAGCGCTGCTTTGGCTGAGAAGCTTACCCCGCACAAGATTGGCCCAAATTTCCGGACGCTTGCCAGTCCGCCATCGAGCCGAGATATGTTTGGTCGAAAGTCTGGACTCAACAGCCAATTATGACCTAGTATTGGCCAATGGCGCATCCCGAAGACGTCAGAATTCTAGAAGTCCTACCGCTTATCCTCCATGTACGATGCGCTGCACACTGGGTCTTGGCTTTGTTTTGAGCGTCCATATACGTTGTGTACTTTTGGTGGTCGTTTTGACGCGAACGCTAGCTTTGGAGTCTCAGACCAAGAACTAAGCTTGAGAAACTGCCGTTATTACAGTATCGTTTTACCAAAATTCTACTTTTATTTCATTCTTCACACCACAAATTAGTATACAAAGATTGTGAGTCGAATGTTGCACGCACACCTGATTTTGAAGGCATAAAAACTGAAGGGGTTTTTGAAAAACTGTTTGCGATATGTGCTCCGACACTCCAGATATACATTCATTTAGACACTTTGAACGAAATACTTGTTGTCAAATTCAGAACCCGGAGAGAGCATGCAAACGTGGATAAATACCTAGTGCTATGTTTTGTGTGTACCGTAAATAAGAGTAAACCTCAAACGGATGTTTTTCGTGTGGCAGAAAATCTAAAAAACCCGAACGCTGGATAAGGACAATTGCTTTCGTCACAACGCGTTGGCTTAAGATGAATATTACTTAGGAAAACGTATTCCGCCATAAATTCAACTGCCAAACTCTGAGGTCTTTTGTCAATCTCATTTTTCTTCCGTTTTACTATGTATCCAAGAATCTAACTTCTAAAAGCTTATTTTGCTGTCGTTTTAATCACGCACAAGCTATACAGATGAAATCATTGACCAATATATGATGCCCTATACAAAAACTTTCGTCCAACGTTGACGCGGGTCAGGTTAAAATCTTGTTCATTTTTGCCATCAACACTCAGCACTCCCTCTTGTGTTTAGCACGGTCCCCTTCATATTACAAACCTGATTGCATGCGTTATCTATTAACGTATTACTCAGAAAACGAGAGTATCAAACGATCAAATTTTTAGTTTCAAAAATCTGTCACAAACTCATAATCCTCATTACTCGTTGGAAAATTTAAAAGAATTTTGTCGATAATGGTCGGTGATACGTATGCGAAAAATCGTTGATCACTGCAGCGTGCAAACTTGTGGAAACAACGTGCGTATTTTTCTGTCATCATAATCTTGGCTAGAATCTGGGCTAGAAACCCAGAAATACAGCGGATTGGTCGCACTATAAGTTTGATGCATGCCGGAAACGACCCTGTTAATTTATTTCGTGAAAGACCTCAAATTTGATTTTCGATTTTTCGACATGTATATGAGCAATTGGTGCCATGTGTGCGACAAGTCCCATTATTTATCAATTGCTCCATCCAGTAATTGCATACTGTACCGATAATTTGCCTTTGATTCATTTCAGATTGGGAAGCTTTCTACCGCAAAGGTTTGTTGCAGTTGGATGCTGGGACAACCTAAAGTTCCCTGATTAATACCATACTTATTTTGGGGGTCACATATATTTTCTGTTGCCATTCAGCAGTTTACTATCAATGTATTTCCCTAAATCAGTTTCCCATAGCGTGTCAGCCGTGTATTCTATGTCACTTGGTGTTTAACAAAAGCAGTAACATAAGCGGTAGCGTTTGACTTGGATGCCGTCCCGGGGCACAAACCTGCACAATGTATACACGTGCAAACTGTGCCGTTCGGTTGAAAACCACGCAAGTGAAATAAGCACTTCATTCCTTTAATATAAATCGTGACTTCGAATGTGGTTTTCTTATATTATCCTGGTTAGCTATTTCGAAGTTCACATTCATCTGAATAGCATTCTAAATTTAAGAATCTGTATATTCGTTGCCATCATAACAGTGTTTTTAGCCATGTATTTAGATTTAAAAGGATATTACCCTTTTCATTGGCCGTCAAAACCTCTTACGTTCTCGCAGCGAAACTGCTAAAAATACCAGATCCTGCGAAGCTTTTCGAATGAACACGGACGCTCCAGTTTCATTTATTCAGCAACATGTGTGAACTATGAAGTTGCGTGAACAAATGCGGCATTTTTCATCATTGAGTTTGGCAGTCTATATTCCTGGAGCTGTTCTACGTAGCTGATCAAACAATGGACATCCGAGCATTCGGATTACAAATACTTACAAAACTCTCAGTCACTTGCAAAATTGTTACGAAATATTGTTGATGATGAGTTATGCAATTTGGAACAACTGATTTTGTATCCATAGCTTACAATTTTATATGTCAAATTACACACAATAGATCGTTGTTTTCAGATTTACGTCGCTTCCTCCAAAAGAAACAAACAACTAATTGTTAATCTAGGAAGACTGATGTTGCAATATGAAATTTGTGAAAGCTTCACGCCTTTTATGTCCACTTTAATTATATGTGCCATTTTATTTTCAGCTATGCACTTTATACTTGCAGGTATGTTGTGCAGAGCTTATTCGAAACTTCAATTCAGTTAACAAGGATTTGATAAAACCAACCAAGTATAATGAAAACAACGGAAAGTCCGGGGCGTAAATCCATTGACGTAGAGTACATTGTCGAATAACGTATGACAGCCAATTGTACTAATTCAGTTCATCTCTGAAAATAACACTCCGTTTCTTTGCAGATCAGTTGAAACTGCTTTCTTTTCCGAACCTAAAAATTTGTGTGGATCGTCGATGGTGGTGTGGAACTCATCAGAGCACGTTTCGTTATATACCAGAAGAACGTTCGCCTATCCGTTGTGGTTAGTGCGTTAGCATCTGTTGTCAATATGACTTGTCTGACATCAAAACTTCTTGACTTTCTTCAAGAAAGCTCTCTTTTGTGGTGTTCTTCTCAGTACTAAGTTCAACTCCATCAATATTACACACAAATGGCCGCCAATTATTGAACAACCCAAACCCGTCTTGCAAAAACCACCAGACTAGTATCTACTCACAAATATAATAATAATCCACGAACGCTCCATTTGTTTTCATTTCCTCGAGAAACGTGTCGGCGCAGTTCCCATTTGTGTACGTTAATTGGTTTCGTTTTTTAGCAAGATGCATTTTCCTTGTATCCAAAGATTCACCGAACATGACGCGTAAGCGATACCGTGATAAATGCGTGTAATTTACTAAAACAGGCTTGCTATACAACCGGAATTATTTTTCTGTTGTTGTTATCACATGTAGTACTTTTCAATTATGTTTTAGGCATTTGTTTTACTGTAGACTAGCAAACTTTTGGGTTCCCATTAGTCTCATCTCAAAAACCTCGCACATCAAATATTCTATTAATAATCCCTTTCAAAAATGTGTAAAATATCAGTGCGTTCGCGGTCCACCGGCGTAGGAACCACTTCCCAAGACGTAACTTTCCTTTCGGATACTTAAGTAACGCTATTGCTGGCTTTTTATATTCAAGGAGTTTTGGCGTCAGGTACCAGGTTACCTTGAACACAATATCCTAATTAGGATATTTTTGAGATTTTCTACACCTTGACGGTTCCCAATCAACTATTGGTAATTATTCACTTCAGCTATTAGGCATAGAAATAAATCTTCCTCGTTGGCGAGGTCGTCGCCGAGTATGTTGGTGAACGCGTACCACGTAGTTGATGCAGTAGAGCTGCCTGTAGGTTTCAATCGGGCTTTCAGATTTGTTGCCTCAATCGTGGACAAATTTTATCACTGTTCTATTCAGGCAAGTCTCATAACCGTCCGACCTGAAACCAATGCTAGCCTTTCATATTCTCTAAATTATCAAATCAGATTCATACCCATATATACGCGCCTGGATACCTATTGCCCCCTATGGCGGAAGCAGTTGTGAATGCAGAATGTTTCGCAATTTGAAGTCCAATGTATTTTGTTACGGGAGTTTTGCAAAACCAAAATAAAACCCCGCCACTATTATCAAACTTGTCTTCGTTGAAATCTAACAGACCGAATAATACGCTGTTCTGTCTCATCACTATTGTAGTCCTTCGTGAAATTAACGAAGGTTAGTTTTATTTCACCTCCTTAGATAAACAAAATCACCCCGCACCTCACTCAGGACAGAGATCATATTGCATAATTGTTTTTGGTAATGTATACTCGCACAGACTTGGTGCTATTTAAGCTGCCTCATCAACACAGGATCCGGACATCTTTCAAGCGTAACAGAACTAAGCACGTGTACAAAAAATTTCAATAAAGTTATTGAGCGCGCCTTTGAACAGCCGCTCGTGGACAAGATATTTTCACGCGGCTGTCGTAGGAATTTACATAAATGCCATCCACAATGCGGCACGCAGATAGAGAAGGATCACTGTGTGGACTTACGGAGAACTCACACACAGGATAGGTTACGAAATTTTGACCACTGTTAATTGAACTGTATAGTTAGATTGTTTACGGTTCAACTTAAAGCACGATCAGGCAAAATTTTCAAATCATGCTAATGGTATACCTTTAACAATAGCTTGCAACCGCGCAAATGTGAAAGGAAAATATAGATAAAGATTTACTTGCTACGAGCTTCACTAATGGTTGAACGATCGAATGGATTGGTTGGTCGACGATATGACCTGCTCGTCAAAGATGGATAAGTACATGGAATTGTCGGTAAAGGACCAATGGATTCAAAATTTCCCGCGTAACCATCCTTCTTGATGACCAGGATTGAAATTGCACCGTCAAAATTATTTTTTCCTCTGTATAGTTTACTAAGATGTCGCTGCTGAAACGTTGCGTATCGTCTAGAAAAGCTTCTTGGACATGATTTCTGGGGAGTGCTATTATGGCAGTAGAGTCCCAACTAGTTTTTATATGAATACTGGTCCGTCGCGTTTTAACTCTTCATTAGATAAAAAGTAGCTAATTAACGGAAACAAAGCCTGTATTCACGCTGAAGGTAGAACTCTGTTTTTGTACATTTGTGCTTAATTGCTTGCAACTTACAGTCGCCTAAAAATTGCAAGCTATTCTAGTGCAGCAAAGAAAAGATTGACGCTTGACCTAAAAAGCATATTTCTGTATGTAAATTTTCTTTTACAAATTTCCTACAGCAACACGTTTCTTATAATATTTCCATACAACGAAGCAAGAGCACGATGTTTAACCTACCCCGGGACAAATTTTCAAGTATTTTCAAGCCTTATTCGGTATTTTTTTATCTGATATAATGGGAATATGTTTTGCATAAGTCACTTAAAAATACAAATTGCCAAGGGTAAGTATTTGAGCTGGATGTTTGACACTTGATCTTTGGTATGCAACGTTTAAAAAAGCATCAATTATTGGTGCTCCTTGGAAACTGTACGACAAATTAAGCATACACACGATAAACCGCTTCGATTTCTTCCAAGGTCGTTTTCAACTCTGAACCCTCCGTCAAATATTCGGATTGAAAAAACTCACAAATGAAATCACACATTGACAGATGGCTGCGTAAAGCTGGGAAGCATGTGTCACCATTAGGTCCGTGAGTGTTTACGAAGGAGTATCATTAGGTCTCTTGCGCAAAACATTCAGCAATATGCATTAATTACTTAACGTTTTCGGGGAATAACCCGCACAACCGCCTGATTGAGAACGCATATCTGAATGGACGAGGAAGCAATATTCTGTTTAATTGCAAGTCATTCACCATCGAGTTTGAAAAGGTAGGTTTCCGATTGCCAGTCCAAATGTGGCGGGTTTGGAGCTTTCTAAAATTTCGGGATGGGAAAATGCCGATTAGGTTTACAAATGAAATTTTTATGCACTCCTATATCCGTGTTTCGACAAATTTGATTTCATCATTATTTTAGCAAAGCACCGCTTTCCTTAAACCTTAAGATACTGAATGGGCACTGCGTAAAATAAGAGCTTGTGTTCAAAGATTTAGTGAATGCAGAAAAAATCAAACAAGTCACAGCCTCCATGCACGAATAAGGTATCAATTTCAGGCCAGTTTCGTCTTCCCTCTTGCAACAGATGCGGAGAGTTTCAGAAGAAGAAGTATGTTTTCCATGATTTTTGTTGCTTTTAAATAAACTCTTGAGCATTACGCGAAACTTGCGACTATGTTTGTGGGCAACGATGATAGATCATTTTATTTTGTTTACGCCGACTGCTTCAGAGACACTCTAAGCTGTGTCCTTTGTAAGTAAAACCGAGAAAAGAAAGTACGTTGGAGTTATTGAAATGTTAGCAAACTAGTCTAACATTTTGTGGGCTGTGTTAGTTGTGCAAGAATCCGGCATAATCAGCCAAGCTTGACTATATCCTGCGGCTAATTTAATTTGCCTACGTCAGACTTTATCAACAGTGCTACCGGGGTGAAGTATCCTGCAATGCAACCGGAAAAACGTTCTTTTTCTGATTCGGATAAATGTCTAAAGTACTTAGCAAACGTGCTTGTTAGATAACTACCAAATGTTTTCTATCTGGTTCGCGGATTTGCTTCAAAAGCACTGTCTAAACTGAATAGTTTCTACTATGTGATAAAATCAA